ATTGTTGAGGAAGGTCCGCCATATTGAGTTAAGAGCCGCTTTTCTCCAGGAACTTGTCCAGCTTGGAAGATTCACGATTGAGCACATACCAGGTGCTGTCAACCCGGCAGATGCTCTAACAAAAAGCCCAACCAACGACAGTTTGGTCAGCTTGTGCGAGGCTTGTGGCCTCATTCCGGAACCAGTCCATTGGAAAGAGAAAAATTCCGGAACCAGCGTTTCTGTCACGTTTAAAGAGCCCAATAAACCAGCAGATGAAGTCTGCGAACTGAACGTCCCTGTTTCTTGGCGAGCCGCAGCAGAGCAGGTAGCAAGGAACCAGGCTTCTTATGTTGTGGTTGAGCTCTGCTGTGAAGAAGGAAGCTGTCAAAAGCTTGCTCGAAGAATCCTCGTATCGCGTATTTTGGAGTGACGAAGCAAGTGGATCTGTTAAGTGAAAACGGATACCAGCTTCTCAAAGAAGTCTTTAGCGTGTTACTTCAGGAAGGGGTGAAGGTGTATGCGCACTTGTCTACGCCGTGTTCGGCTGGGTGCGGACTTCGTCATTTGAGATTTCGAAAAGGTGGACAGTCCTACGCCAGGTGGCGGGAGTCTCTTTTGGTCCACAAGAGGTCTTGGCGAAGGATTTGGAACCTTCTCCGTCCGTACGCGAACTGTCCGCGTCTTCTTCTTTCTCACGAGTGGCCAGCTAGATCTGACTTGTGGAATGAAACGGTCTTTAGGTCTGTAAGTCAACGTCTTGGTCTTGCGAAGGGATGTGTCGTCGATCGCTGTTGCTTCGAGAAGGGTTCTGAAAGAGCCTGGAAGAGATGGTGGTTTTGTAGTAACTCTTCGAATGTCATCAACAGTATGGCTAGGAACCGCTGTGATGAGAGCCACCAACACATCCACCTTCAGCTCCCGGCGTCAGGTGTGTACCCTGAGCTGTTAGGAGAAGAAATGCTGAAGGGTGCGAGACGAGCTATGGAAGAAGACAGGACTTGAGGACGCAACTGTTGCAGGCATGAGGGGGTGTGAAAGTTTTTGACTTCCTTGTGAGTGCCTTTACAGTTGACAGGATGTCTTGCACATGTGACATGAACCACGAGTTTGCATTGCGTGAGTTGAGAACTGTGCTTGAACCGTTTGTTTTGTGTTAGCAGAAACAGGCATGGACATAGCATGTTTGGAGCTTGGCTTGAAAGTGTTTCTTGCTTTGAGCTTGACGTGAGATGCTTGGAGTGTGCATGATGAGCAGAGAAGCACTCGAGATGCTTTAGGAGCATTCTTGAAGAAGTGCGTGTTGCTCTGAGTTTGCTCTTCAAACCTTGGCCGCCGACCCTCGCTTCGCTCGTGTCGTCGTACTGAGGTTCGAGCAGAGTGGCTGTGCACTTGTACGCTTGTTTTGCTGAAGCACGGAAGTCCTGAGAAGCATTAGGACGTTTGCATGTGTTCCTCCTTTGTTTAACAAAGTTGAGATGGAATTCACGAAAGTGAAGCTGCGCTGACTCTGCGAGAGACTTGCCGAACACCTCTGGTGTTTTGGCTCAAGCGTGGAGTGAAAAAGAGCTCTGCGTTTTTCACAGGGCGCGGAACTCTGAGACTTCAAAGACGTTGCAAATACCGTGGGCGCGGAACTCTGGGGCTTCAAAGACGTTGCAAATACCGTGGGCGCGGAACTCTGTTGCTTTGAAAACGTCGCAAATACCTGGGCGCGAACATGGGGCTTCGAAAAGAAAACGTTGCAAATACCGTGGGAGCGGAACTCTATTGCTTTGAAAACGTCGTAAATACCATGGGCGCAGAACGTGGGGCTTCGAAAACGTCACAAATACCGTGGGGCGGAACTCTGTTGCTTCGAAAACGTCGCAAATACCGTGGGCGCGGAACTCTAGGGCTTTGAAAACCTTGCAAATATCGTGGGCGCGAAACTCTGGCGCTTCGAAAATCGCATATACCGTGGGAGCGGAACTCTGGGGCTTCGAACGTCGCAGCAAATAGCACGACAACACCACACTACCGTCGCAACATTGCTACATTCTATCTTCTTTGCTTTCGCGTTCTTTTCGCACACAACCCAAACGTGTCAGTTGATATGTTTGCACTGATGGCTTTTGGGATAATCGGTGTCTAGTTTGGGATTTCATTATTCGAAACCAGAGAAGTCAGACTCTAAACAGACATTTCCCTTTTCGAAAAGAAAGAAGGGAATGTATTCTAAATTCCACCCCCTCGAATCTTGTTTTGTTTTTTGGGTTTTATTCTTCGAAACCAAAGAAGTAAGACTGTTTTAAAGGGGAGCTGAAAAGCAATTCCACCCCGCTTGCTTCTTCTTTTGTTTTTGTGTTCATTACTCAAGTTTCAAGAAGCAGAGAGTTTATAGCAGTGACGTGGCGCGGGGCTAAGCCGAGAACCCCCCATGTTCAGAGATGATTCATATGCTTCCACGCGAGCTCCGGCAGAGGTTGGGGGGAGGCGCAGCCCCCCCCATTTGCATAGCAGTGACGTGGCGCGAAGCTTTGGTTGGAGGGGGCGCAGCCCCTCCATTTGCAAACACGATGCTTGCATGAGGCCTCTTGAAATCCTCCACCGAATATGAGCTTCTTAGACGTCTTAAACTGCTGCCCGAACCCTCCACAAAAAGCCCAGCAAGTATTCGGCCTCTTAAACTGCCTAAATTCCACCAAAGGCCCAGCAGGTATTAAACTTTTTAGACGTCTTAACCTGCTGCCTGAACCCTCCACAAAAGGCCCAGCGAGTATTCGGCCTCTTAAACTGCTGCCTAAATCCTCCACACAAGGCCCAGCAAGTATTACGGCTCTTAACCCCAACCTTCCAAAAAAGGCCCAGCAAGTATTACGCCTTTGAAACTGCTGCCCAAACCCTCCAAAAAGGCCCAGCAAGTATTAGGCCTTTTAAACTAAAAGGCCCAGCAAGTATCACGCCTCTTAAATTGCTGCCCAAAGGCCCAGCAAGTAATTATTAGGCCTTTTAAACTGCTGCCTAAACCCTCCACAGAGGGGGGGGCTTGGTTGCGGCTTCAGGGGGAGCTTTAGGGGGGGCTTTAAGGGGGGGCTTTAAGGGGGCTTTAAAGGGGGGCTTAAAGGAGGGTTTAAAGGGGGTTTTAAAGGGGGGCTTAAAGGGGGGGGCTTAAGGGGGGGCTTAAGGGGGGGCTTAAGGGGGGGCTGAAGGGGGGGCTTAAGGGGGGGCTAAAGGGGGGGGCTTAAGGGGGGGCTTGAGGGCTTTGACCCTTTCCCCCCCCCCCCCCTCCCGAAGGGACCCCCTTTGCAGGGACCCCTTTGAAGGGGGCTTAAGGGGGGCTTAAAGGGGGGCTTAAGCCCCCCTTTGCCCAAAGGGGGGGGGGCCCATTCTCGTTCGCACTAGCCTGCAAGACACTGATCGAACCCTGGCATTGTAAGAGTGTTGGTCTGCAGCCTTCCTAATGGTCGTGAGCATAATCTCGATAGAGTTAAAAAAGCCAGTGCAAAGGACCTGCTGAGCGACGTGGCAAGAAGTTCGTTTCTTGCAAGAGTTCAAGAAGCGGCTGAAGAATGCATTTCCTCATCACGGCGATTTAGTTTGAGGCTGTTGGCCATGTTCAGAGACAGCTTTCTGCAAGATTTGATCCATCATTTTATTCCCCAATCAGCGGTGTACCGTTCCTGGAGTCATATCCATCAACGCACTTCTGGCCTGGCTGCTCCCTTGATGTCGGACGCGAAATGGATTGCAGCGCATCACATCCCTCTGCAACCAGAAACGCGCTGGCGCTTCTCATGCACTTAGGCGTTGCAGGCCAAGGTGTGAGACCGTCCGCGTTGGCTGCAATGATGAATTGGACCTGTGTGCCTCGCCGACTTCGCCAGGGGCGCAGGCGCACTGGCATTTGCCACGGGATGGGATGCCAATGAATGGGGATGTCTGCACGTGTCGCACAGTGTTTTGCCCTTGCACCGCCCTGAGAAGCGGCCAAGGGTTTTCGGGTGTAGGGTTTCATAGGGTATTGGAGGGCTTGATAGGGTTCGTATAAGGCTGTTGCTCGGGTTGTCGAAGGGCTTTGGAGGGGTATTAGTTTCATACATCTTATTGGGGTGTCGCATACGAGTGATACTATCCCCATCTAGTCCCAATTTATGTACTCCCCACATTAGTACTGCTTCGCAAGTTTCATTGTGCCCAACCCTCAAGATTCCACCTGAGCTAGAAGCGCAGGAAATTTAAAAGGAACAGGCTGTGGGTGAGGAGCTGTCAGTTGTAGAGCTTACCCATTCAAGCCTTGAGGACTTCTCGCGTCAGGTATCACCTTTCACATACACCGCCTGTCACGAAATTGATCCGAATTCACGACAGCTTGTGTTGAAGATCAGCGAGAGCACCCCATGCCGGGAATGTATGGTCTCGTCGCAAACGTGAAACTAGCCCTTCGGCCCTCTCGTTTCTGCCCGGCATTCGCAACTGTAAGTTTATTCCGTGTGGGAATGGAGTTGGTCGAAAATCACCGGCTGCGCTGAATATGCTATGCTTGAACGTGTAGCAAGGTTGCCTGTGCATGATGGATGCAGATCAATGGCACACGCACATAGACATGCAGCAGATCCACCGCCTGCGCGCGCGCGCCGAGAGCGCGCCATATACATGCATATACACACGCATGCAGCTTTTGCAACAAACACATGTGCAGCACACAACCACACATGCAAATATGTGTTCAGAGAGAGGGAGAGAGGGTGAGTGAGTGAGTGAGCGAGTGAGGGAGGGAGGGAGTGAGTGAGTGAGTGAGTGAGTGAGTCAGTGAGTGCGTGAGTGAGTGAGAGTGAGAGCGGAAGAGACGCAATGGATGTGCATTTTCCCATAAGAATATTGATGGCCAGAGTGATACGTCCGCTGAGTCATGATGCGAAATCACTGCAAAGGCCGACGTTCGGGAATCCGCAGCCGCCGGCTCACAGCTTCAGATCTTTGCAAAATCCGATTCCTTAAAATCCGATTCCTCGATTTGGTGTGTGCAGCTGCCTGCATCCATGATGCAGCTCGGCAAAGGTTTGCTTTTTTAGAGCATGGCACTGCCTGTTTAAACCCTTGTGGCAGCTTCCAAGAGCTTTTGAAATTTGCCAAAGCTAAGGAGAGTCCTCCTTGCTTTCCTCAGCACAACGCTGCAGTTCGTTGGGGCTACCCGTCACCAGGCAGGTCACATCCAGGCGGAGGCGGTCTCCTACGTCGACGGCGTGGTGCCTTTTCCAGGTGACATGATCTCCGGCGTCGCCGACTGGAAATGTGCCCGCGGCGGCGGTATTTATGACGAGGAATCCGGCCAATGCTTCGTTCCAGGGGCTGCGTTAACTCGTGTGGTTTCGTGCGACTATCAGTCGGCGTGCCGTGGTGGCAAATACTTCGACGACAAAGGGTTTTGCTACTTCCCGGACAAGTACACCAAGATCACTCCGGCCAGATATCAGTCTGATTGCATTGGTGGAATCCACACGGGATGCGGTGGTGGCAAGTGCTTGAAGAAGTGAAGAGTGAAGCGGGCCAACCGTCACTGTTGCCGCAGAAGGAAAACGCGTCGCGGAGATGCACCACATCCCTCTCACTATGCCTCCAACCATCAAGCCCGAACTGCTAACATGAACACCCACGCCTTTGAGCCCTAATCCCAAAGTCTCAAGAAAACTCGGCTGGCTTGTTGGGCTTATAGAAATGGGCAGCCGGAAAGCACTGGGAGCTGAAGCTGTGTTTTTTTTTTTTTTTTTTGCGGGCTTTGCGGGAGGGGCATCCCAGTTGCAATGGAGCGTCTGAGGAGCAGTTATACTTCGCGTTGATGATCGAAACCAAGTCGCGCAGCGAGCCGAAGGCATAGCCAATGCTCAGGAGGTTTGATGCTCCTGAAACACATAATTTTCTAACTTCGCCTGAGGCAGTGGGTTTCGCTTCGGGGCGCAGGGATATGGGGCGTAGGTTGAGCAGTTCGGGGTTCGGGGGTAGGGCTTAAGACTTGAGAGCTGAGGGTCTAAGCTGAAATTGGGAGCTGTTACATGCTGTTCCCTAAATATAATCGAATCCCCTTAAAAGGACCTCCCGAAAAGGGTAACCCTATTTTCGGAAACCCATGTTGGAAACCTTGACATAAACTGAGCGGCTGGGCTCCTTGCCAACATCTTATTTTTCAGTCATAGCCACAATTTGTTTGCAAAGGGTTTTTTTTTGGGGGGGGGAGCGCCGTGGTTGAGATGCTTTCAAAGACCTTTGAAGCTAAAACCAGTTCCGTCTTATGAACATCCCGGACGGGTTGGTTCTTTAGACCTTCTTAAGTTATCTGAAAAGTTACACTTGAATCTTACAGCCCGCAGATTTTTGAAATCCTTTCAATCATGCTATGCGTGAATGCCGAAGCAAATTTCGGGGCTTGCGCAGAACAAAAAATACATGGGTTGTGCGTCCGCAGCATTTCGGCATGGAGACCATTTCCACTTGTCGGAGCCGCTGTAGCCATGGGCAGGGACCTTACTCTTGATGCGGTGTGGCCTGTTGGTCTGCTCGCACGTCAGCGTTCCCGCTGTTTGGTGAAACGTGGGCGTTTCGGAGGCTGCAAAAAAGTTGCGTTTTCGCTGATGGCAAAGGCAGCGAGACAGAGGAAGCACGCCGTCGGTACCGCAATACGACACTTGGCTTGGAAGGGTTTTCTTGTACCCTGACCACCTCAACCTTAAACCCGAAATCTGATTCCTACTATTTGCCCTGAAGGCTTGCTCCTTCAACTCTAAATAAGTTCTGGGTCAAGAACTCCTTCCGGAGCTGAGGAGCAGCAAAAGAATCCCACGAATGGGGATGATGAAGCTTAGGGACGCCCGACGCTTTAATTCTTTGGAGTGGACGGACTCCGTTTGCGGCACCGGGAATACTCCTGAAAACCCGGAGCCATAAACGCAGCTTTACGCCCATCGCATGCCACAAACAGCTGCCAAGTCTAACGCGGAACATCCCAAACTTGACATTATGTTAAGCCGTAAGACGAGACGTAACCAAAAACGGGGCATTGCGGGTTTAGGGTCTGGGCGTCTGGGCTTTCGGGTTTATGCCAGTTTTGAAGTGAACCCCCTGTTTTGAAATGGGCTGGTGCTTGTGAGGTGGAGCCTGGACGAAACAACCCGTGGCTAGGGTTTAGGCTTCCCCCACATCCCGATGCATGTACGCGACCGTAGTGCTCACCCCGAGGCTGTTCGACCGCGAGGCAGGGGCGTGCTCGGGGTTCTTGGTTTGATTGTAGGGGGTTACAAAGCGGGGTTTGATGTTATAAACATAGTCTGACAGACATTAGATCTAATTCCAAAAACTAACCCCCTAAACTCCTTAAGCCACTCAAACCCCCACAAACCCCCCAAACCCTCAGAACCCCCCGAACCCCCTGAACCCCCTGAACCCCCAAGAAGGTACCCCCAATTTCGGAAATCCCACAAGTTTCGATCGGCCGTGTGTTTGCAGCCAGGCGAAAGCAGCTGCGAGCCTTTTGGAGCAGGTGGCGCTGTGGAGGGATGAGGGTGTCTGTTTCAAAGGGGCCAAGGGGCCCCTCAAGCCCTTACACCCTATAAACCCTAAACCCTAAAGCCTAAACCCTCTAAACCCTGCACCTGAAGAGAAGCCCGGGGCCAAGCCGCGAAGCCCGCTTCTGCAGCCGTATTTCTGGGGCTCAGTCTTTAGGCAGTCGGGACCCGCCCATTGTCCCAAATCCCGAAGCGGGAGAATTTCCTTCCGGGCCCCAAACCCCAATCCCTAAACCCCAAACCCTAAATCCTAAAAAGAGACGTGAGGTCCGCCAGTACGTGGGGCGCTCCGGGAAGTGCCAAGTCACAGATTTCGAGGACCCAGCACACGCTTTTAAGGGTTTAGGGGTTATGGGTTATGGGTTTAGGGTTTACGGGTTATGGGTTATGGGTTTAGGGTTGAGGGTTATGGGTTATGGGTTTGGGGTTTAGGGTATTCCTCCAGGTTTTCATCCAAAACAGTTTGGAGTTCTGGGGGTTTCCGAAGTTTGGGGTTCCTTATTGGGGTCCTTGTTATCAGGGGATTCTACTATTTGGGGTCTATTTTCAGGGGGCCCCCTATTTTCGTAAACACCCATATTGACTTAGGGACTGGGTAGGTAACCTTTAGCCTATTTGGTGATATGGAGAACTTCTTTTTTGTAAAAGGTTCACCGTTTTTGGGCTAGGGTATTCAGCCCCTCAGTTGAGCCCTAAACTCCCAAACCCCTTAAACCCCGAATAAACCCTATAAGCCCTAATCCCGCTTAGACCGAAACCCCCATAAGAACCCCAAGTATGCTAAGCCCGGAACCACCGAGCTGTGCAAATATTGGGGCCCCGGAGCGGCTTCAGCTTGAGCGTCCGAGGTCCGAGGGCAGGTCAGTCGACGAGGGGTTTTAGGTTTCCAGGGCTTAGAGGGGCTTTGATTCTCAGGGTTTCGCGGAGGTTTAGGGTTCAGAGTCTTGGACAAACCAGGTTCCGCCCTGCTTTGGGGTCTGTTCCCTTGAAGGATCGAAGCGGAGTCCTCCATGCCAGGCCCCTTACACCCTCATTCCTTACATCGTCATTTCCCAAAATCCGGGGTATTTACCCCTTTTCTTACCCCACATAGAATGGAATCCCCTTGAAGGGACGCCTAAACATGGTACCCTTGTTGTCGTAAACTCCCACATCGCCCCCCAACACGTCTGAAACCTGCGGAGCAGGACCTGTGCACGATCCACCATGCTATCAGCAACCTCTTCGAAAGAGTCAAGAGGCCTTTGGGGTTTCAGGCGTTTGGTCAGCTTTAAGAGACTGAAGGGCTTAAGTCCAGGCATTCAACAGCCCCAAGAAGCCCCGAAAAACCCTGAACTCCTAAACCCCTGAACCCTAAGTCCTATCTTTGTTTCAGCAGGCTGAAACATAAAGCCCCAAAATCCTAGACCTTGCCCTAAACCCTAAACCCTAAACCCTAAACCCTAAACCCTAAACCCTAAACCCTAAACCCTAAACCCTAAACCCTAAACCCTAAACCCTAAACCCTAAACCCTAAACCCTAAACCTTAAACCCTAAAAACCCTAAACTAAACCTAAACCCTAAACCCTAAACCCTGAACCTGAACCCTGAACCCTGAACCCCTGAACCCCCTAAAACCCCAAAACCCAACGCCCTAAACCTAAACCCTAAACCCTAACCCTAAACCTAAACCCTAAGCCCTAAGCCCCAAGCCCTAAGCCCTAAGCCCAAGCCTCAGCCCTCAGCCCTAAACCTGAACCCTTCATGGGGGGGGGGGGGGGGGGGAAATGGCTCTTTGGGCCATGGCTTCAGCCTCGGGAGTTGAATCACTTCCTTCAGATGGCAGAGCGGGTCGTTTCTAGGGATCTTGAAGGCTTTGGGTCCAAAGTTCAGGGTTTTAGGGTTTAAGGTTTAGTTTAGGGTTTAGGATTTAGGATTTCAGATTTAGGATTTAGGATTTAGGGTTTAGGGTTAGGGTGAGGGGGTGTCTAAGCCCTTGTACGCACGATGCCCTGAACCCCAAAGCGGAAGCGGCTCATCCCCAGGCCCTACCAAAATCTAGGCTCTAATTGGGAGTTAAGGGTTTAGGGTTTAGGGTTTAGGGTTTGTGGTTAGGGGTTAGGGGTTTGGAGTTTACGTAAGGTTTGGGGCTCGAACCCGAACGTTTGCGCCTTGCAACCCAAGCCCCAAGCTCTTCAAATCTCAACCCTGAACCCCAGTGCTTAAAGCCTATGCCCTCGAAATCCAACAACACTAAATCCTTAAAACGGATAAGCCAGAAGGCTAAGGTTTCAACCCTACCACCCAAACAACCCAAATCCCCCCTAAATGCCGTAAACCCTAGACCCGATACGCCCAAGCTCCTAAGCCCGAAGCCTTCAACCCACCCCGCCTAAGCTACCCAAACCCCAAACCTTAAACTCCAAACCCCTAACCCCTAGCCCCAAACCCCTAACCCCTAACCCCTAACCCCAAACCCCAAACCCCAAACCCTAAACCCTAAACCCTAAACCCTAAACCCCAAACCCCAAACCCTAAACCCTAAATTCTAAACTCCCCACCCTTCAAACGCCAAACCCAGGTTTAGCAGTCTCGAGTCCATGCCTCGGGTGTACCGCAACGCTGTCAAGGCCTGGCGAGTCGGTAAAGGGCTCGGGGGTTTTTAGAGGTTTAGGGGTTTGGAGGTTTAGAGGTTTAGAGGTTTAGAGGTTTAGAGGTTTAGAGGTTTAGGGGTTTAGAGGTTTAGAGGTTTGGAGGTTTAGGGTTTAAGGTTTAGGGCTTTAGGGTTTAGGGTTTAAGGGTTGAGGGTTGAAGGGTTGATATGTTTTTTTTAGGGTTTAGGGCTCAGGGTTTAGTTTTTTTTTTTCGGTGCAGGGTTTAGGGTTGAGGGGTTTCAGGGTCTGAGGGGTTTTAAGGTTGAGGGGTTTTGGGGTTGATGGGCTTCAGAAGTTGCAGGAACTTAGGACCATGTTTTCTTGGGAACTGCCTCGGCCCAGAAGGAGCTTGCTGCAATTCTACACATCAAGATCCATGTAGCCCGGCATCTCTGCCCTCGAAACGCGTGCGGCGCACGCGAGTCGTGTAGAACCTTCGTTGAGCAGAAGAAAACGCCGCATCCCAACTTTGCCAACCCGGGGCCCAGCGTATGCAACTAGTACCCGCTTCAGGTTGAAGGTACTAAACCCTGAACCTTGAACCCTAAACCCTCAACCCTAAACCCTAAACCCTAAACCCTAAACCCTAAACCTTGAACCCTAAACCCTCAACCCTCAGCCCTTTGTTGAAATCCCTCTCCAGGCCCACGAAGCCCGGGAAGGTGCTTTCTTGCTTCGTATGTGCTCCGGTCGGAAGCTTGTGTAAGCACTGCTTTTCCGCGCCCAACGTTAGGAACCAAAGAGGTCCCCCCCTAACTCGACCCTGAAAGCCCCCAAAACCCCGACAGACTGCAAAACGCCAGGCTGCGAACATCGAGAGGCCGGGTCCCGCCCGATGTTAGGAGCGCCTAGCTCCTGACCCTCAGAAAATGCCGAGGAACTAGCCCGGTGGTCGTAATTCGGGTTTGGGGGGTTTCGAGTTGGGTTTAGAGTTTAGACAGGGGGGCTCTCGGCTGAGTTGGTCCGCCACCTGGGTCAGATCTTCCAAAAGAAGGGCTTCGGGTTTAGGGTTTAGGACTAGGGTTTCGGGTTGGGATCAAGGTTTTAGGGTTTAGGGATCTCGGGCTTATACAGGGGTTTAAGATGGTTTAGGGCTTGATGAGGGTTTGGAATTTAGGCCTCGGGGCTGTCTTTCAGGGTTTAGGTTTCGGGGCTCAGGGATGTTGAGCCTCCAGGGGGCCGCTCGAGCCCTGTGTCAGAGCTAAGCCCTAAACCCTAAAACCCTAAAACCCTAAAACCCTAAACCCTAAACCCTAAACCCCAAACCCTAAACCCCAAACTCTAAACCCTAAACCCTATTCCCTGGACCCTGGACCCCTGAACATGCATCAGCCCTAAGCATTTCCCGTTTGCAGGCCAGCGGGCGAAGCCGTGCCGACCTCAGCCCAAAAAAGAGCTTGCGAATGGCTGGAGGTAAGGCTGGGACCCCTGGAATCCTCCAGAATCTTCCGACCAGAATCTCTTACAGTTTGGGTTTAGGGTTCGGAAACCCTAAACCCTAAACCCTAAACCCTAAACCCTAAACCCTAAACCCTAAACCCTAAAACCCACAGCCCTAAGCCCTAAACCACCCGAAGTACCTAAGCCCTCTCAGCCCCTCGGCCATTAAAGATCCAAACCCGGTGCTGAACTCGTTGCCGTGCATGAGCCGTACTTTTCTGGGTAACCCTAAACCCTAAACCCTAAACCCTAAACCCTAAACCCTAAACCCTAAACCCTAAACCCTAAACCCTAAACCCTAAACCCTAAACCCTAAACCCTAAACCCACAGCCCTAAACCCTAAACCCTAAACCCTGTACAAAGTTGTGGCCATCATTGGCCAGGCATCGTGAGGCAGCAGCCACTTTCACGAACACAACTCTTGAGGCCAGGCATGCAGCTGCTGCGCCCGCCCAGCGGGGCGTCTCGCTTCATTTCGACTGGAGAAAACTTTTTTCCAAGGATGAAGTGCAGTCGAGGGCCGCCGGAGTTGCTCGTGGGTGTGAAACTGGGTGTGAAGCCCGATGTGGTGTTCACCCACAGGGACTTTGACCGGCGGATTAATCTGTCCACTGGAGCGCAGATCACCTGGAGGCAGTCAGAGTTGGGCAAGGCGGGTGGTGACCCCCAATCGGGCTATCATGGACGAAGTGTTGGAACATCTTGGGATGCAGCCTTACAAAGCCTCAGTCTTGAACCCTAACACCGAGGATGATGCGCAGCTCCTGATCTTGCAGGGTACCAACGACCTGGAGGACTGGATGGCGTATGGGGTTTTCAGAGACCGTTGTGGGGTTGGGCTTGTTGATGTTGCTCTTTGGAGTTGTGTGTTTTTTCAAGCCTTTTCCCGGCCTTCCAGGCTAGAATCTTACAAGGGAGCCGAGAAAGACCTCTCCCAAAAACCGTGCCGCCGCAGGATCCTCCGTCAGAGACGGTGTTGGACCTCACCCCGCCATGGCTTCCCAGAGACGGGGAGAAGAAGGGGGGCGGAGGAGGACAAGAGGGTGTTGTGTAGTTGTTCTTCAACTTGGGCTTTGGCAGGCAGGAGCTCTGCAAAGGTTTACGCATCTTTCGCCAAGGTGCTTTGGGGCATCCTCACATGTTTGAAGGCATTCTATGTTTTGAAGGCATTTCTATTCCAGAATCCCCTCTGTTGAGCCACCCCTAAAACATATCCCCAGAATCGCTTGGAGGCCCCTCACCTTCCTAAACCATCTGAACCCCAAATCCAAGCCATGCCCTAAACCTACTGGCTCAGAATAGGTACCTTCTAATAGGTATCTTCTGCTTTGAACTTGGGTGTGTGTTGCAGCCCCCCAGAAGATGCAGGGTGGATCAACCTCCATGGCGCGTTGTAAGGTTTGCGGATAGGTTTAGGGTTCCGGGTTCAGGGTTTAGGGTTATTCGGGTTTAGGGTTTAGGGTTTAGGGTTTAGGGGGTTAGGGTTTAGGGTTTAGGGTTTAGGGTTTAGGGTTTAGGGTTTAGGGCGAGCCACACCCTAAAAGCCTAAAAGCCGACAAGCAGAGGTCGGCTCCGCTGTTTGACCTGGTGCGCAAGGTTCCGGAAGTGTCGATGGAGGAGCCGCGGCCAGGGACGTGAGGGGGCTTCCGAAGCGAGGGTACCGTGGGTACCTTATTGGGGGTCCTTCTGAAAAGGGAATCCGAGATATGTAGGGGCTGATTCTAGGGGTCCCCAATTTTCGTAAACCCCCATACAAGAACCAGAACTTTCTCGTTTCTTTTGGGGAAATAAAGATGTTGCCCGGAGACCTTTGGGGTACTCGGAGGACTTTCGGGGTTGGGAGTTGAGGGGGGGCCGGGTGGGTTTGCGAGTTGAGGGGGTATAGGGGTGTTGTGGAGGTGGAGCGTTTAGGAGTCAGGATCGAACCTAAACCCAAACCCTCAACTCCCCTAATCTTGCTGAAGCCTCCCTAAGCCCTAAGCTCTCTAAGCCTAAACCCTATAAGCCGCCCTAAGCCCTGTAAGCCTTAAGCCCTACGCTCAATGCCCTCAACCCGAAGCCCTAAACCTCGCGAGTCTTTCAGGATCTCTGCCGCAACGTGGCAATTCCACAGCAGAGACTGGATCTAAGGGACCGGCTTTCAGGGTGACAGGGAGAATCCAAGGTGAAGCCCGTAAAGCCCTAAACCCCTAAAGCCCCCAAAAGCCCTCGATATTGGAGGACTTCGGGCTTAGGGCATAGGGCCTAGGGTTTAGGGTGCAGGGTTAAGGTTTACAGCGTGCAGTGGCGTCTTGGCCCTGGCTCTGGGTTCGGTTGGAGACTTTGTCGTGGGATTGACAGCCTGAGCACAGCAGAGCATGCCTCGTTCATAGGCCTCATATCCCTTCAATCCAGGATTCAGGGTCTCAGAACCCTCAAATTTTGTAAGAAACAGGGGCTCTTGGTGGCTGGGATCCTGTTCGGGGTCGCCCGACAGCAGCAACCCTGAACCCCAATGCGCGGCTTCTTTTGGGGTGTTTAGGATGGTTTAGGAGGGCGGTTTAGGGGAGTTTAGGGGAGGTTTAGGGGGGTTTTAGGGATTGAGTGCTTTGGGGGTAGGGGTTTGTAGGGAGAGCTGTCCATTCGTCTCCTGCACCGCCTGGCCATGAGCTTCTGGATAAAGCACGTTATGTCCCCGCACACAACCCAAGAAGCCACAGCCACCTTGACCCCCACACTTCGAGCCCTGACTCCCCTCGACATTAAAGAGGGCCAGGGTCAAGAACCCTTGAGGTTTTGTTAAGATCCAGGCTGAAAGTTGACCTCACTTTCACCCATCCCTACGGGCCAAAAAAGCCCCTAAACTCCCCAAGCTACCCTAAGCTGGCCCAAACCCCTAAGCCCTAAGCCCTAAGCCCTAAACCCTAAACCCAAAGCCCTAAACCCTAAGCCCTAAGCCCCAAGCCCTAAACCCTAAGCCCTAAACCCTAAAGCCTAAACCCGAAAGCCATGCCTCTGATGGCTTTCCGGGTGCTGCCGGGCCTTTTCTGGCTGCTGGGTGAAGCCCCCGCGGCCCCAGCGGCCTCCCCGCCCTGGCTGCCGGCAGAGGCAGGGTCTGCTTGGGACCCTCTCCCACTTGTATGGCTATGTTAAAAGTATTACTGCTATCTTGAGTATCATGGTCATTCTTGTTGTTATTGCGATTTTTATTACTTCAATTTTGATTGGTATCATGATTATGCTTGTTTAGGGGGCATTTGAGGGGTGGGCACAGGAACGGCTAGCCGAAACGAACGAACTGCCATACCGAGCCCACCGGAAATCCTACACCGAAAGCCTGTTGCAAAAGCGCCTAAGGACCGAAAGGCCTTCCCGCTCGCACCCCCCCTCCCTTAAGACCACAGAACCAAAGCCTACAGGCCCCAAACCCTACGCCCTGAGCTCTAACCCCTAAGCCCTAAGCCCAGCCCTAAACCCTAAACCCTAAACCCTAAGCCCTAAACCCTAAGCCCTAAACCCTAAACCCTAAACCCTAACCCCTAAACCCTAAACCCTCAGCCCCAGGCCCTAAGCCCTGAACTCCGAACGAGAGAAACCGAGCTCCGAGGATGGCGCTGCTTCACTGGAGATGAAGTGGCCTCCTTCGCGGAGGGCGCGGAGTAACCGGGTGTCGCGGCTGCGTTGGGGTCTGGGGTTTCGGGTTTAGGGTTTAGGGTTTAGGGTATAGGGTTTAGGGTTTAGGGGTTGGGGTCTGAGTTCTGGGTTTAGGGCTTCGGGTGCTTGTCTTTCAAGGTGTCAGGCTTTGAAGGTACGAATGCAGCGCAATGCACTTGGGTCGGTGGGGAGAAGTTCAGGGCCTCCAAACCTGGGGCATCCCTGGAAGCCTCAGCCTGTGGTGGAGGTTTAGGGTTTAGGGTTTAGGGTTTAGGGTTTAGGGTTTAGGGTTTAGGGTTTAGGGTTTAGGGTTTAGGGTGAGGAGGTGGGGATGTGATTTATTTGTCATGTTTCGGTCAATCTCCGAGTTCTCGAAGGCGGGTCTACGTGGGATTGTGGGTTTGTGGTGGTTTTCATGATTTCATGTCACATGTGTCGTGCGAGGTGATGAAATTGCGGTACCCTGCAAAAAACAACTTCATTCCCAGGTCAATGTCACCGTGTTTCTCACTGATGCTCCTCGGCACAAGGATGCAGCATCGGGTGACTGGATTAGGATGTTTAGGACGTGTTTGGTCGTGCAGCTAGTATGACGTTCTCTCGAGCCTGAAGGCTTCAGTTCTTGCAACTTCATCCGAAATCCGAATTCTCAAGCTCTCTGACATGTCAAAGGTACACAGCTTTGATGAGCCTGAGGGGCAGATAGCTGTCTACGCCTTCATGAAGCTCTGGTGGCGCCTTCCTCGGCATTGGACCACGGGCCTCTAATCATAAACCCTTAGCCCTAACGCGCCGGCCTTTTTTGTCACTTCTGTTGCTCGCCTTAAAGCGCTTTGGGCCTCCCACCACACCCTTAAGGCTTAGCTCGGTCGCAAGACTGGCTTGGGGTTAATGTTCCGCAGTCCTGCCAAGGCTCAGAGACATCTAGGCCAGGGAACTGTAGCCTCGGCAAGATTTTGCCACACCTTGGTCATTCTGATGAGTCTGGTTGCTCGATGAGAAAGGCCTTTCGGCCCGGGAGTCCCGAACAGTTTCTGGGTTTTTGCGGCTTCCAGGCCAAGAAAACGTGCCTGAGCAGAAGCCTCGAAGTAGTGTGGAACGTCCCTGGATGTGGCAGAAGAGTTCTCAAGTCTCAAGGATTGGATTCGCACTTTTTCGGCTTGGCTGGCTTGGGGTTTGCCTAGCTTCGGCTTGGTTTGTGTTCACTGGCAAGGTGAGCCCTGAACCTCCCAACTCCACGAGGTCATTGATCTGGATCGTGGTCTTTTGGGGCACTGTACATAGCAAAGGGACGCGAGAAAGGGACCGTAGCTCAGCAAGCTGATGTTGTAGATGCTATGCTGTCAGAATCTGAGTTTGAGGTGAGGGTCGGATCATCGAGTCAGTGCCAGACGCGAGGTTTAAGTAAAGAGGAGCATTCCCTTCTCCGGTGGCTTTATCCAAGGCTCCGGCAAAAAGGGGAAGGGGGGGGGGGTCACCATGAGACCCAGATTGACTGAGGCATCCGAATCCAAGCCCAAAAAACGAAGACAACCCTAAACCCGAAACCCTAAACCCTAAACCCTAAACCCCAAACCCCAAACCACCCCCAAATAAGCCCAGGAGGGACACTCGCTGGCATCAGGCGATGCAGAGCAAGGCTGGTAGGGTCCTTAGGGTTTAGGGTTTAGGGTTTAATAATACTTGGAGGTTCAGGGTACCAATTGTAACTGTGCTTGTAAGCCCCCCAAGTCCTCTACGTATGTTATAAGTAGATTTAGAATTAGGCTTATGCGTACCCATGAGCCTCCAAGTAGAGGTTCAGGGTTCAGGGTTTCGGCTGGTCGCGTTGTGCAACTTATGCAACAGCTTGAGTTTTGTGTCCGGGCCCTTGAGAAAACCCGCGATGCTGCCCGCGCTTTCACACTTAGTCCGTCTGGGTTGTGTCATTTGTGCCCTGAAGACTCTGATCGGGAGCATCTTTGGCTTTGCACATACTCTTGACCAAGACTTGTCCTCTTGCTCTCTTGCGAATGGCGCGCTCCACGAGGAAGGTCACCGCTTGCGCTGTGGCTGCGTTGCTGGCATGCGGCCTCTCCAGCTCCGGATTCGTGCCAGGGCCGCTTCGCAGGACGGCTGCCCCAGTGGCAGCTGCGTCCGCCGCCGGCATGATGATGGCCCCAGCTGCTTTTGCCGACGAGATTGGTGATGCAGCCAAAAAGCTTGGTGATGCTTCCTATGACTTCGCGAAGGAAGTGGACTGGAACAACGGCATCTTCTTGCAAGCTCCTGGCAAGTTCCAACCTCTCCAAGCTCTGAAGGCGATTGACAAGATGATTGACATGGGCGCAGCAGCAGACCCCAAGCTCTTGAAGGCAGCGGCGGAGGCCCATCACAAGGCCATCGGGAGCATCTCAGGTCCCAACGGTGTGACTTCTCGGGCGGATTGGGATGCGGTGAACGCGGCTTTGGGCCGCGTTGTGGCATCCGTCCCCAAGGCAAAGGTCATGGACGTCTACAATGCCGTGAAGGACATCACTGACCCTGCCGTGCCCCCGTACATGAAGTCGTTGGTCAACGGTGCAGATGCCGAGAAGGCATACAAGGGCTTCTTGGAGTTCAAGGATGTGGTGGAAAAGAGAGTTGATTCAGATCTATTTTCGACTTTCTTTGCATTCCCACGTCGTTCTGTATCTGTGCCGCTTCTATTCTTAGCATCATCTCAAAGGAGTTCGTTAACAAATCTAAGGAACCAAGTGGCTGCAGTTGGTGCTCCTGCCACTGTGCCCACTGGGGACAAGATTGGTGCGGCGGCGAAGGCCCTGTCGGATGCATCTTACCCTTTCTTGAAAGAGGTGCAGGGTTGCAAAGAAGAAAAGTTGGGGTCGATGGCCCTTGCCAGTCTCATGATCAAGAAACATGAGAAACTTCACGTAGTTCCCACGCCCCCGAGGATTTGCAACCGGGGGTTTCCTTTGACCGAGCATGCTTGTTTGTTTGTGTGCGTACCCTCAGGTGGACTGGCTGTCCGATGTTTACCTGAAGCCGCTCCCAGGCACCACAGCCCCGAAGGTGATGACCGCCATTGACAAGATGATCGTGATGGGCAGCCAGATGGACGGAAACCTGCTGAAGGCTGCCGCCGAAGCGCACCACAAGGCCATTGGCAGCGTCGATGCCAAGGGAGTGACGTCTGCTGCGGATTACGAGGCAGTGAACGCAGCTATCGGGCGCATTGTCGCATCAGTGCCAAAAGCAACAGTGATGGATGTGTACAACTCCATGGCCACAATTGTGGATGGATCCATCCCCAACAACATGTTCTCCAAGGTGAACCCTCTTGATGCAGCCGCCGCTGCAAAGGGCTTCTACACCTTCAAGGATGTGGTAGCGGCGTCTCAGCGTTGATGAGAGTTTTTGGCCGGGCGCCATGGCGTCGAGTTGTCGGGCCCTTTGAGAACCACAACTCTTTTTAACCTGTACAGTGCCGAAGAGATGGTGGGGTCGTTAGCGATTGACGACAGTGTTTGTGCCTTGAAGCAGTGATAAATGGGCTTGAGATCGGCAGGCGCGGCATTCACAGCTTGTTCTCTAGCCAGGGCAAATTCAATATCATCCGGCTGTAAACGCGACACCACTTCGAAATCGCAAGCATTTTTGGCTTTGCACATACTCTTGACCAAGACTTGTCCTCTTGCTCTCTTGCGAATGGCGCGCTCCACGAGGAAGGTCACCGCTTGCGCTGTGGCTGTGTTGCTGGCATGCGGCCTCTCCAGCTCCGGATTCGTGCCAGGGCCGCTTCGCAGGACGGCTGCCCCAGTGGCAGCTGCGTCCGCAGCCGGCATGATGATGGCCCCAGCTGCTTTTGCCGACGAGATTGGTGATGCAGCCAAAAAGCTTGGTGATGCTTCCTATGACTTCGCGAAGGAAGTGGACTGGAACAACGGCATCTTCTTGCAAGCTCCTGGCAAGTTCCAACCTCTCCAAGCTCTGAAGGCGATTGACAAGATGATTGACATGGGTGCAGCAGCAGACCCCAAGCTCTTGAAGGCAGCGGCGGAGGCCCATCACAAGGCCATCGGGAGCATCTCAGGTCCCAACGGTGTGACTTCTCGGGCGGATTGGGATGCGGTGAACGCGGCTTTGGGCCGCGTTGTGGCATCTGTCCCCAAGGCAAAGGTCATGGACGTCTACAATGCCGTGAAGGACATCACTGACCCTGCCGTGCCCCCGTACATGAAGTCTTTGGTCAACGGTGCAGATGCCGAGAAGGCATACAAGGGCTTCTTGGAGTTCAAGGATGTGGTGGAAAAGAGCATCGGAGTTGATTCAGATCTATTTTTGACTTTCTTTGCATTCCCACGTCGTTCTGTATCTGTGCCGCTTCTATTCTTAGCATCATCTCAAAGGAGTTCGTTAACAAATCTAAGGAACCAAGTGGCTGCAGTTGGTGCTCCTGCCACTGTGCCCACTGGGGACAAGATTGGTGCGGCGGCGAAGGCCCTGTCGGATGCATCTTACCCTTTCTTGAAAGAGGTGCAGGGTTGCAAAGAAGAAAGGGGGTCGATGGCCTTTGCCAGTCTCATGATCAAGAAACATGAGAAACTTCACGTAGTTCCCACGCCCCTGAGGATTTGCAACCGGGGGTTTCCTTTGACCGAGCATGCTTGTTTGTTTGTGTGCGTACCCTCAGGTGGACTGGCTGTCCGATGTTTACCTGAAGCCGCTCCCAGGCACCACAGCCCCGAAGGTGATGACCGCCATTGACAAGATGATCGTGATGGGCAGCCAGATGGACGGAAACCTGCTGAAGGCTGCCGCCGAAGCGCACCACAAGGCCATTGGCAGCGTCGATGCCAAGGGAGTGACGTCTGCTGCGGATTACGAGGCAGTGAACGCAGCTATCGGGCGCATTGTCGCATCAGTGCCAAAAGCAACAGTGATGGATGTGTACAACTCCATGGCCACAATTGTGGATGGATCCATCCCCAACAACATGTTCTCCAAGGTGAACCCTCTTGATGCAGCCGCCGCTGCAAAGGGCTTCTACACCTTCAAGGATGTGGTAGCGGCGTCTCAGCGTTGATGAGAGTTTTTGGCCGGGCGCCATGGCGTCGAGTTGTCGGGCCCTTTGAGAACCACAACTCTATTTAATTGTTGCCAACTTTTTAACCTGTACAGTGCCGAAGAGATGGTGGGGTCGTTAGCGATTGACGACAGTGTTGTGTGCCTTGAAGCAGTGATAAATGGGCTTGAGATCGGCAGGCGCGGCATTCACAGCTTGTTCTCTAGCCAGGGCAAATTCAATATCATCCGGCTGTAAACGCGACACCACTTCGAAATCGCAAAGCATTTTTGGCTTTGCACATACTCTTGACCAAGACTTGTCCTCTTGCTCTCTTGCGAATGGCGCGCTCCACGAGGAAGGTCACCGCTTGCGCTGTGGCTGTGTTGCTGGCATGCGGCCTCTCCAGCTCCGGATTCGTGCCAGGGCCGCTTCGCAGGACGGCTGCCCCAGTGGCAGCTGCGTCCGCAGCCGGCATGATGATGGCCCCAGCTGCTTTTGCCGACGAGATTGGTGATGCAGCCAAAAAGCTTGGTGATGCTTCCTATGACTTCGCGAAGGAAGTGGACTGGAACAACGGCATCTTCTTGCAAGCTCCTGGCAAGTTCCAACCTCTCCAAGCTCTGAAGGCGATTGACAAGATGATTGACATGGGCGCAGCAGCAGACCCCAAGCTCTTGAAGGCAGCGGCGGAGGCCCATCACAAGGCCATCGGGAGCATCTC